CTGTACGCACACAACCTGTATGGGTCAGAGCTATATGGATCTCAGTGTTGCGGGAAGACGTGGACATGGGCTCCTATCACTAGTCAAGAAACTCCCCAGTTAACATCCACATTGAAAAGGAAACAATTAGATTTCTCCTGTGGAGTCTTGCTGGGTGGGTATAATAACCACACTAAGGGTAGGCCCCATACCCTGCAGTAGATGGCCCACACAAAATGAACTCAATGATATGGGTAGACTTTCTCACATATGGCTTTGCTTGGAAATTTTGTCTTACAGGTTTTTTGCTTGTGTATCATGGCTTCCAATTTTGTGTTTTTAGGGGTTTTGAGAGGTGGGGTATGCGTGTGCATGCCCATATTTATTTTTTTTGCCCTTTTTTATTATTTTAAAATTCTTTTTTTTAAAAAATTATGGTATGTTTTCTAAAGAGAGAGAGACAGACAGACAGACAGAGAGACAGACAGAAAGGGCATGGAGGCAGGAGAGTGGGAGGTGGGGAGGAGAAACCATGATCAGAATATATCATTAAAACTTTTTTTTCCAGTTAAAATTCAAAAGTAAAATGAAATGCTTTCTTAAAAAGTGTTTTTGGGGGGGGAGCGGGGAATGTTACTGGGATGTAGCCTATTGATAGAATTCTTGCCTAGCATTCCTAAAGCCCAGGGTCTGACACCTAGAACCACATAAATGGAGCATGGTGACACATACCTATCATACCAACACTTGAGAGATGGAGGCAGGAGAATCAGAAGTCCAAAGTCATTTTTGGCTACTTACAGAGTTCCAGGCCAGCTTCTGATATATGAGACCCTGTTTCTGAAGAAAACCCTGTGCTGTCTAGCTTTCTGTTACTAAGAAATACCTGACATAACCAACTTATAAAGAGAACAACTTTATTTTGGCTTGTGGTTTTGGTCTATGATCACTTGGCTTTGTGATTTGGGGACAGCTATGACAGGCAGTTCCTAAAAGGTAGGAAGCTATGATAGAACACGTGGTTTATCTTGTGGTAGCTTGGAAGCAAAGACAGAAAGTGACTTGGGTGCCACAGTCAGTTTTGAGAGCCCACCCCTGTGACCTAATCTCCTTCCATTAGACTCAGTCTCTTAAATGTTTTGCTACTTCCCAGAAGTGCCAAAGGCTAGGGACCAAATCTGCTCCATGGGCCTTTGTGGAGATGGACTTCAGGTCCTGGAGAGGCAGCTCAGTAATTAAGAGTGTTGCTGCTTCTTTCAGGGGACCCAAGTTTGCTTCCCAGCACCTGCATTAGGTGATTCTCAAGTGTCTGTAACTCCAGCTCCAGGGGATCCAGCTCCTCTCACCTCTGAGGATGCCTGCATTCCCATTCACATGCCCACATGCAGACACACACACCTACACATAATTAAAAGTAATAAAAATATTTTTAAAAGATCCAAACTACAGCAGCAGTTAGCAATCCCTGCTAGTGTATTTCTGTTTTTGCCCATGGTGGTGCATTACTAGCCCATAGCTGTTATGGACAGATAATTCTGGGAACAGTGGTGCTTTTTTTCCCTGTGAGAGTTCTTCTCATTCTAAGTGCTCTCATTTTTTCATGGCTGCCTTTCTGACATTTATTTTGTGTTCTAGCAAGTTTATTTGAAGGTAGACAAAAGTGTGTTAGAAAGTTGTACCTGGGACAAAGAAAGTCTCAACTATAGTCGAAACTTGAGTTTTATGGAAATTCTAAAAGTGTTCTGAACAAAATAAATGTGGATCTGAACAGTACACTAGTTACTTTTCCTGTTGTCACCAAATACCCTGATAAAAACAGCCTATGAGGGAAAGTGGTTTTGGTTCATGGTTTATAGGTATGGTCTGTCTTGGTGGGAAGGTCATTGGAGTGGGAGGTTGGGAGAACTGGTCCTGTTCACCCACTGTTGGTAAACAGCTCTCTCCGATTACACAGTTCACAACCCTATGTTGCAGGGGAGCCGCTTGGTCGTTTCCAGCTGCCCAGAACCAAAATAATCACGCAGAAACTGTATTAATTAAATCACTGTTTGGCCCATTTAGCTCTAGCTTCTTATTGGCTAACTCTTACATCTTAATTTAACCCATGTCTATTAATCTGCATATCACCACGAGGTCGTGGCCTACCAGCAAAGTTCCAGTTTCTTTAATCACAGCACACAGAGGGGACTCCCACATCAACCCTAGGGAAAGTTGTTAAGTTCAGGGGGTAGGTTCTCCACCTCAGTTAACCTAACCAAGATAACCCCTCACGGACATGGTCAAAAGCTTGTTGTTTTCAATTGATTGAGGACTCTAGTTGACAGTTGAGATTGACCACCAATAGTAACTGCTTAGGGTTAGTCTAGTTCTTTGTACTGTGAAAGACTTTATAAACAACAGGGCAACCTGACAAGTTGTAGAATACAATATTTCCACAACAAGTGGAGGGAAAAATATCCCAATATTTTGGAGACTTCTTTTAATGTGGTCGTGTTTTAAGAGAATTGAGAGCCAATCAAATTGCTTCTGGATATGACGTAAGGGATTTACAGGGGCCTCTTCTTCACTGACTTTTCCAGTTTTTCTGCTAGCTGCACTGGGCTCTAGGATTAGACGTAAGTGAGCTGAGTACCTTAATCTCATACAGAAATTCACGCGACACTTGCTAAGGAGCTATGTTGGGAAGCATTAGTCTAGGAGGTTTAAAGAGTGCACAGTTGAATAAGTTCTTTCCCTTGAGAAGTTTACAGTCCTAGAAGAGGATGTGACACAAAAGAACTTATGATTGAAGTGATGTCAGAAGGGGACAACATCTACTCTGGAAGATGTTGACCAAGGTATGGGCTACCATCTTTGTAGGATGTTATTTTGAGAAAGTTATTGTCAGAGTACAACCTACAGAGTTAATTGGTCTGAGGATACTCAGGTATTATATTGTTAGTATAGAAATTACTAGTAGGCTTAAATATTTGAAGATTTTTATATTGCTTTGAGACAAGATTGGACTTCAGACTTGTGCAGCCAGGGATGACTTAGGAACTTCTGCTCTTCCTGCCAGCTCCTCCCAAAGTACTAGGCTTATAGGTATACATAACTGTACCAGGCAAAATATTTCGGGTTCCGATGGAGCAAGTGAGTTGGTTTGTTTTTTTTTAAATGAAGTTGATAGATTCAACTTTTTTTTTTTTACATTTATTTACTATGCATACAGTATTCTGCCTGCACGTATGCCTGCAGGCCTGAAGAGGGCATCAGATCTCATTACAGACGGTTGTGAGCCACCATGTGGTTGCTGGGAATTGAACTCAGGACCTTTGGAAGAGCAGCCAGTGCTCTCAACCACTGAGCCATCTCTCCAGCCCGCAAGTGAGTTTTAATAGGGAAGTATTTTGACATTTTCTTTTAAAACAACTTACTAAGCCTTGAGTGTTTGTAATTTTTAATTTTTGTGAGGTCCCTACCAGTTCTCCCTCCTTGAAAGTAGCAGCATCGAGAGCCATTTCGGGGCAGTTAGACCGAGAACTGTGGGTGGGTGGTTCCACAGTGACTTCCTGGGACTGTGGTGAGCCAGCCACCTGACATCAGGAATGTGGGTAACTGTTAGCAAGGGGCTGTGAACATAAGACAATGCAGCAAGAATTACACTGCGATAAATGGACCAGCAAAATCTCTGTTTTCTGTAAAGCTCCCTCCCTATTTCTCTCTGATTGCTGAGGAGAATTATGTGAAACGCTTATATATTAGTCAGTTGCTGTTTTGATTCATGTTCTGGGTGTTTTAAAGCATTTTTCTTTTCTGGAATAACAAAATATTTTTATTAATTTTTAAAATGAATTAGACTGCAGTAGAATGGAAGAAAAAGGGCCAAAGAATTTAATTTCTGTATGTTACTGGAGAATGCTGGCAGAGTACCAAGTTTTAGAAGAGATGACTTACCCTTTATTAACAGTGTACTCTTTTTCTGTTTATACTTTCAAGGTACTTATTTAAAATTAAACATTATCTTGGCAGTTTGGTTTCTCAGGTAGAGTTTATAGTGTTAATATTTTGCTAGAAATTTAATTTTGCTTTAATTAAAAACTTAATTCTTTCTTCATAAAAATTTTAAATCACATTTATTTAGTTAGTTTTTTCGAGACATGGTTTCTCTATGTAGCAGCCCTGGCTGACATGGGACTTGCTTTGTAGTCCAGGCTGGCCTTGAACTCAGAAACCCACCTGCCTCTTCCTCGCACCACCACACTTGACTATTTATTTATTTGTATGTGTGTGCAGGTATGTAAAATAAAAAAAAATCAAGGTGAGCAAGGCATAGGGAAGAAGACAGTAAACAGCATTCTTTCATGGCCTTTACTTCACTTCCCACTTCCAGGCTCTGGTCTGACTTCCTCAGTAATGGGTTGTTACCTGGAAGTTATAAGCTGAACTAAACTTTTTCCTTCCTCAAGTTGATTTTGGTTAGTATTTTCTCACAGCAACAGGCAAGCTATGACTTCTCCCTTCCCCCTAGTTGGCCTGGAATTGCTAACTTGCTATGTAGAACAAGCTGGCTTTTTAAACACAGAGATCTGCCTGCCTCTGCCTCTGTAGAATTCAAGGTATGTGTGTTGGCACCAAACTTGGGTCCTCTATAAGAACGGTAAATGCTTTTAACCACTGAGTCATCTCTCCAGTTCCTTATTTATTTATTGTGTATGTTTTTTGCGTGTGTGTGTGTGTGTGTGTGATTGTGTGTGTGTGTGTGTGTGTGTGTGTGAGAGAGAGAGAGAGAGAGAGAGAGAGAGAGAGAGAGAGAGAGAG